GGGTGGAAGAACCCAAACAAATGAGTCTTTTGTCTGAAGCATAACAACACTATTTAAACCACTGGGTGGTTGGCGGGTGCTCTGATATGGTTTGCTCCTTCTTATCTATCAAACATCTATCGTCCTTATCTCCCCTTCTTCTTTTTTATGTTTGTTACTCTCTTGTAACACCTCTAATCTTTTGGCGCTCATATGACCTTATGCAGTTCCGAGCTCTGTAAAACCTCTACTAAAACTAAAAACCACTGGGGAGGAGGACTGCGTCCACTCTGCCTGTCATGGCTAGCCAGTCCAGGCTTAGAGAGACACAACATCCCAACACACTAATGGAAATACTTGATGAAAATTCTCCACATGAGAATCAAACTCACATCTCCTGCAAGCAATGGTGATGCATCCTACTGCTACACCACAGATACTGGTCAGGAGTCATTGTCTAAAGTAAAACAAGCAAACACATCATGAATCATTCCATTACCAAAAGGTCTCGCTTCAATACCGTAAAAAACCAAAAATTTTCAAACAGTTCATTTCTGTTCTTTTCTGACTTCATTTTTAAAATGTACATGTTTTCCTGCCCCCTCCTGCCCACCCAGCAGTATTGAGTACCTGACTTCGAGTTGGGGAAGTAAAGGCGGCGTGGAAAGGAACTGGCCACCCTACCACAAAATGCCGAAGGCCCAGAAAGTTGTCTCACTACTGTGGAATTCGGATTTAACGAGATGAGATAGATTCCCCGTTTTTTTTCTTCTTTAAAATCAATAAAAGTAACCCGGATTCAAAGAGCACTTAAATCAGTGAGCTCGGATTCAACGAGGTCGCTTCTAGGGTGTACAGTCCCCGCAGACGTGGCTTTGCTAAATTTCCCCCCAGAACGAACTTTATCTATTCCCGGAAAATATCCATTGCACCTGCATCGTGAACCAATATTCACTTAACCGATTGCATGCGACATATTAAACGTTCTTATACAACCAACACATGTGTTGTTGGCACACGCACGTGTCTACTCTGGCGTGTGTAGGGGTCGGATGGACGGCCTGCACACGTGTGGCTCTGTGTGCGTGTCGGGGAGGGGGGGCACTAGCAGTCCGGGCGTTGAACGTCGCAGACACAAACTCGTCAGTCTTTTTTTCCCCTCGGCAACCGATAATTACTACAATAATAACCTAGTCTTGACATAGATCTACATACCGAATTATGCGCTGGTCTATGGAATCAAAAGTTGCCGTATGCTAGGCTCTACACAGTAACACAACTTTTTGGCAAACAAACGAGCTCAGGCGTGTGTATTTGAATGAATCTGACTTTTTTTTACACAGCTCAAAATATGCAGGCATTTCAGGCACTACTTGTGGCTTCTCTTGTACATTATTTGCTCAGTGCCAGAAATTATCTTCACAAAACCTTGTGTTTGCTATAACGAACACTCGGATTCAACGAGATTTTAGGTCAGGCCCGACGACCTCATTGAATCCGAGTTCTACTGTAACAAGGCAATCCCTAATGTCCGGATCGGATGCGGGAACAACTTTACTTTTTACGTGTTTTCCTGCTGCCAATGACATAGATGATTGCAGCTCAGGCTGAGAGGGCCAACCTGGGCTGAGAGGGCCAACCTGGGCTGAGAGGGCCAACCTGGGCTGAGAGGGCCAACCTGGGCTGAGAGGGCCAACCTGGGCTGAGAGGGCCAACCTGGGCTGAGAGGGCCAACCTGGGCTGAGAGGGCCAACCTGGGCTGAGAGGGACAACCTGGGCTGAGAGGAACAACCTGGGCTGAGAGGAACAACATCCTACCAAAAGACAGAACATTCGATAACATTTTCCCCACTCTGAACCTGAACTCGTATCTCCCGCAAAGTGCCTAACTACTACACCACAGACATCAGCTTTCAGACTTTGATGCAATAGACGAAAGTAAAATCATTTTAAAAAAAGGGATAGTGCATGGTTCTGCAGTTCCTCTGAAGTGTTTTTTTGTTTTAGTAGTTTTTCGGCACTCGCATCTGCATAAGGTCATATGAGCGCCAGAAAATTAGAGGTGTTACAAGAGAGTAACAAACATAAAAAAGAAGAAAGGGAGATAAGGACGATAGATGTTTGACAGGAAAGAAAAGCAAACCACACCAGAGCACCCGCCAACCACTGAAACACTGATATTTGTTTGAGTAAAGAGAAAGGAATCAACACACCAACCACCAGTCAGTGCAGGAACAAAGTAAAGCAGACAGACAGAAACAACAGAGGAACGAAAAGAAGCAAATCCTACCAGTGACACATTCCAACCACCCGTAAATATTGCCATTTCCATTTCTCAACATCCAACGTGCAATGATCAAAAAGATCAAGATGCCACCTTCAGGATTTTTGTTTTAGTAGAGGTTTTACGGCGCTCGCAACTTCATAAGGTCATACAAGCGCCAGAAGATTAGAGGTGTCACAAGAGAGTAACAAGCATAAAAAAGAAGAAGGGGAGATAAGGATGATGGATGTTTGATAGGAAAGAGGAAGCAAACCACACCAGAGCACCCGCCAACCGCCCACTCTTTCAGGTTTACAGAGTCAAAATAAAACTAAAGTATAAAGGAGCAAAGAAACTCTGCCTTTGTTTTTGCTCTTTCAACACAGAGAAGCACACCAACACAATTAGGTCATTTAGAGCTGGTTTTAGTTTAGTTTTAGTACGAGTTTTCAACACAATAAGGTCATTTAGAGCTGGTTTTAGTTTAGTTTTAGTATGAGTTTTCAACACAATTAGGTCATTTAGAGCTGGTTTTAGTTTAGTTTTAGTATGAGTTTTCAACACAATAAGGTCATTTAGAGCTGGTTTTAGTTTAGTTTTAGTACGAGTTTTCAACACAATAAGGTCATTTAGAGCTGGTTTTAGTTTAGTT